AAATTTTGTATATGACAAGCCATGGGTGGCATTAGTAATTATTAAACATGTTTTTAATTTAGTATTGATAAATAAAAATCAAATACATTGTGCACTACTGATATATTTATAAGTATATTACATCAATGTAAATGTGTATTTTATTTTTTATTATGTCAGAATGCATTTTGGTTTGCTTTGTTTCAATAAATAAACAACTATTTAAAATTTTTTACTTTCGACTTTTCGATATGCTCCCGCCCCCCTGGGGGGAGGCGCACCCTACAGTTTGCAAAGCTCTCATATCAGAGGTATTATAAAACACATGTGCTGGTGAAAGCGTTTCCTAAGAAGCAATGTGCAGGTTTGGATTGTTATCCACGATTCATTTGAAGATTTCACGGGACAAACAGTTAGTTATTTGAGTGAGAACAATTTTATTTCGTAAGAGTTATCTGAAAGAGGAGCTGCTTGGTTAATGGTGTTTATAACTGTCATTCACAATACCGTAATCAGAAAGAATAATTCAAACGAAATAAAACAACGCAGAAGAAAAATTTGATTAGTTTTATGCTGTCAAAAATCTATCTACATATATATATACTATTTTTGACTGCCAGTGAAACAATTCTTTCGATTCACGAAAATTTCGAAATGTTTGGATAAAAATGCTTTGCATGCCACAATTTGGAATAGTCTTAAGGTATCCGATTACGTTCGGGACCGTGATTTTATAAAAGCGCATAAATGGATAATTTTCATGATATTTAGTGTCACTTAGATTAAAACAATTTTATACATGTATCTAAGGACATTTTGACAAAAAAAATTATTTAAATACAATATTTCGGCAAAAAATTAACTTAGAATAACCTTTTTTTCAAAATGTTCTGCTTTTGTGAGAAATGCTTTTAATATAATAATATTTTGCCTGTATATAGCTCAGACCTTTGTACAGAGGCTGAGTTTTGAAAAATTCACATTATTTTCAGAGATACAACCCATTGAAATAATTATCAGCGTTTTTTTCTTAAAATGTCTCCCCTCTGTTGTGTGTGTAAAACATGGATAAACCCACTTCTAAGTTATATATTTCAAAAATTCTCTAGTTGAGCCTCTGTACAGAGGTCTGAGCTATAGACAGGCAAAATATTATTATAATTTTTCACAAAAGGAGACTACTTTGAAAATGGGTCATTCTATGTTCATTTGTTGCCAAAATATTGTACTTAAATAATTTTTTATTGTAACACTATTCTTAAAACAATTTTATGTACATTTTCTAATCTAAGTGACACTAAATATCATAAATATTATCCGTTTACACGCTTTTACAAAATCACGGTTCCGAACGTAGTCGGATACCTTAAATCAAATACTAATATAAAATCTATGAAAGTTGAAAACACATCAATTTGTTGAAACATTATTAAGTAAAAGACCGAAATGGGCTAAAAGTGTCTTGTCGTAGAACCATGAGGGGAAGCAATTTATATTTTCTGTTGAAAATGAATTTAACCTTAACTCTCCTCGTGGCTACAAGCAACAATTGTGGATAAGGACGTAAAAATGCTTCACGCGGCGAATGGGAGAAGGATTCTAAATGATTTAGGAAACCTTTAGTCATGATGGATTGTGCAATTTACAGCTAATTTCATGATGTTTAATATTCCGTACAATATCAAATCGTGCAATAAGATCATCTGATACTATTTGGGTTGTTATTAAAAACTGGAAGTGGTGCTAACCGGATATTTAAACAGAACATTACCTCTTGCCATAGATTTAAATTCCCCAGGAATGGTTTAAAAAGAACAATTTATTGTTCTTTGTAATGGCCAAGTTGAAGCCCAGAGGCGTGTGATTTAAGGAAAGGGGGTCCAAACTCCTCCCATATACTAAGAGACTTTTAAATTTAGCATAAAAGTTACCCCTCGCACGCGTTGCTTCCTCTCATCTACGTGTTTTTCAAAATGTAAAGCCCTACAGCAGGGGTGGCGAACCTTTATGGATCAACGCGCCATTTTTTCTAAAGAAATATTTAATGAGGTATAGACGTGCCGTCAAATAACTTTGACTTGTGATTATCGGGAAAATAATAAAACTAAATACTAACAGCTCAAAACTCTATTTATTTCGAAAAAATACATTCTGCGCCTTATAGTAGTAAATATTTTAGTTATACGTGTAATTCGAATTAAAGTAACATTAGTGTGATTTCTGCTGCTGATGATTAGATGAAAAAAATTTTATATTAGGATTGTAAGCTGTTACTTTTATCTCACAAAATGCATGCTGTATTAAAGTCATCTGTCGGACAGTTTCTAAGCAAGTTTTCAATGTTATTCATCTCTAAAAATAATGACTTGCAGGCATGGGTAAATGAAAATATGGTTAAAATAGATGACCCAGCTTCTTCAAAGAGTTAAATGTGTCTGGCATCGAATTCCATGTTTCCGAAATTTCATCATTAGCATTTTAATTTATATTGCTTGTTAATCTCTTTCTGTTTCAATCAATTTCAACTTTCTCCTTTTTACAACAAAGTTTTGAATCCATATTAAACTAGACTGGAAATCAATCCGTTGCATTTCAAAATTTTCAATTTCTAAGTAATTTAATTGGGACAAATTCAGTTTATTAAATGAAATCACATCAGGGTACATAAAAAGAACGTTTCCGATAATTCTTTGAACTGAGAAAATCTCACTGAAAACTGCGACCGATTACTTGCGTTTGTTCGTAATACTTCATACTGAACTTGCTATTTAGAATTAAAATGCAAACCGTTTTGATCGGTGGCGTGCCCAAAATATTGTGTCGCGTGCCAGTGGTTCGCCATCCCTGCCCTACAGTATGCCACTGTTCAGACTTTAAACCTTGGTAAACTTTTGGAGTATATTACGAAGCAAAATTCGATAATAGTTAAAGATTTTCACGTAATGATGAATTGGATGTAACATTTTAAAGTAGCAGCATACAATTTTTGAAATTGAATTTAACCACTAGGTAATTTCATGAGCAACAATGTTTTTAAAATTATCAGGGAAATAAAAGATACTGTCATATTGGTTGTTTATACTTTTTTGTTTTAAGACAAGTGATCTTATAATTTGTTATCAGTATATTTTTTTCCTTTATTCGCGTAATATTTTTGTTAACTGGATTACTTGTTGTATAAATCAAAATTGCTCAAGCAGAATGAAAATATATATGTTTTAGTAGCATATTTCATGTTTTTATCACAATGTTAATTTCCCAATTTCTAAATTAAAGTGGTCTTATAATTTCTTAACGGATTACATATCTATTTAAGAATAGTAGTTACAGTAATTAACATCATAATTACATTGCGCGTAACAGTTATATATGCTTAATTATTAGTTTCCTTTATTGTCTTTGACCTGTCTTCGAGTTACGTCAAAGAACCAAAACTGCAATTGAAAGTATTTTCAGTCAAAAGTGGACCATTTCCAAGTAAATTCGTGACATCATTCTACATATGCAGTCGGACTTTTATTTTACGAACCCCTATTTAGTGAATCTCTATTTTGCGAAATTTTTCCCGGAATCAAGGACATTTTACTACCTAATTCGTAAAAAAACCTCCCAATAGAGAAGTGCGTTTTCTATTTAACGAACTTTTTCTATTTAACATTCCAAATTACATCTCTCTGATACATTTTACATTTATGGTAATACATTTTATGGTGATCAATGCCCTTGAACTAGTTTTACTAAGTGCCTTATTAACCTAAAGAAACAAAATTGTCGTTATTTTTCGAATAAAAACTCAAATAAAATTAACAGATTTTGTCAGTAATTAAATTTAGGGACGCATGTGGTAATGTATGCTAAAAAAAACTGGTGATAAGATAATGAATGTTTAAAAATACTTGTATGCATAAAATTAGAAAATGTCATTTAAAATTAATTAATTTTAATAGAAAATTATTTTTTAAAGTTGAAAATAATGAATATTCCTCGACAATGTTGTTTTTTATTCTTGTTTTCCTTGCAGATTTCTTTTTGATGGGTAAGATTTATAAAATAAATAGGTATTAATTTACAAGAAAAAGAAAGTGAATAATTGCTTTATTTTTAATAACATTTGTATTATGTGGTTTTTAAAAGATGAATCTCTATTTAACGAATTTTCTATTTGATGAACTTTTTTTTCGGGATTTAGCAACTTCGTTAAGTAGAGGTCCGACTGATTTACTAATTATATCGCATGTCTTAAAATTTAGAACGTGATCCTTTTTTTGACGCGTGTTAAGTGGAAATTAATTTAACATTACGGTATAGGAGATAAAACATTTAACTTAATTTATACATGGAAGAAAATCAGATTTTTTCAAACAAAAATGAAAAGAATAATTAAATGAGTTGCTTTCTTTGTAGGATATTCGCTTCAGAATATTAAACTAATAAATGTAGGAGCTTTTTTTTTTTATCTCTAAAAATATCCTGAATTTGATTTTTATTATATGAGCACTAAGTGACGGTTTAAAAGTACATGAAGGTAACTTTAAGTAATTGAAAATGAAAATATGATTAAAATTACAAATTGCTAATTTCCGTACTTAAATATTTCAAAACGAAAATTCTAAGGGAATTCAAATTTTATAAGTTCTCCCCTTTAGTACCCACTATCTGAAAAATATTATAGACGAACTTTTTTTTACTAAAGTCTAAATAAAATATACAATCTTAAACAAAAAACAAGTAATATAAAATTAATTTTTTAAGTCAATTCTTACCTAGGCCAAGAAAAAAAAATTTATTTTAGTTACTTTTTATTAAACAGTTACAATTAATATAAACATGTGTATACATATGACAGAATCACAATAAAAAGCGACAAAATAGAAAGCGATTTTCCTTGCAATTTTCCATTTTCCTTTCTATATAGGGTGTTGGATTATTTTTTTATTGTTACTATTTATTCATTAATTAAAATTAATTATTCTGATAAAATAGCATAGTAAAAAAAGAAACCCCATTCTCAGAAACTAGGCCATCCCAGGTGGAATTCGAACCCATGACCTTTGGATTAAAAGTCTAACGCGCTATCCATTGCGCTACAGGGACACAATGAACAATTTTCCTTTTTATATATGCTGCTTGACTATTATTTTTGTTTGTTACTAATTATGCATTTTTTAATTTAATGAATGAATTAATATTTGAAAACACTGTATTAACTTCAAGTGTCCCCCATTACTAGTTTAAAAAATGTATTTGAACGTGAATGGATGAATAGAAAGTATTTTATGTACGATTGAAAATTTGAACAAAAAAGATATATATAGTATAATAAAATAAAAGTGAAAAAAGTTCTAAAACCTACAATGCCTAAGAAGAAAGAAATTGGAGATCATGAGACACAACAAATGTAGATACAAAAAAAAAGTCTTTGTACTAAACTGGAGACCTATTATGATTTCTAAAGCTGTCGCTGAATTAGGCCATCGATTTAGGGTTAGCAATGCTATATGGATCCACCTTCCCCGTACTGCAAAACTTTTCGACATAAAATAAAAGAAAAAATAGAACCATGTTGAAAAGTTAAGCCTATTTCTAACACGTGGATGATAAACCTAACAATAAAGTAAAATGAAATTATGCAAAGAGAACATTAATGTATCTCTCAAAAAAAAGGAATATTAATATAAAATCTGGGATAATATAAAAATGTATAGAAAAATCACTAAACCACACACTTTATAGAAAGATATACTGCAAATGACACATAAGAATAAGAGAGAGAGAAAATTAGAACTTAACTCAATGTAGAGAACGTATTGAAAAAATAACCATATGTTGTAACAGCAATTATTACAAAAATAGTTATAAGCATTTTGCCAGAAATATAGGGAGAGAGTGAACTAATAGTAGGAAATGAACAACTTTTGGTATGTAAACAAACAGGAATTGAGTGTGTGTGATGCGGAGGAAACCCATACTATGACTTTAAAAAAATGTTTTAATATTATTCTTTCCCGATGTTTCTTAATCCATGTATATGTGTATTGTGGATTGTGTGCGATTAGGAGAACTTAACAAATGCATGTTACATAAAAAGTATTATTTGATTAACAATTTTTTAATTAAAATTTCTTTTCTGAGGATGTTTCTAATTGCAATATTTACATTATGTTCTTTCAGAAGACTTTATAGAGTTAATATTTTGAGATGCGAATTGATTGCCTTGAGTATTTCAAAAAATTACTTGATGCTACATAAAATAAAATACACATTTTTTTTAAAAAAAAAAAAATTACCTATATCATGTTTTCTAAAATAGTCTTAAATTAATATACAACATTTTTAATTTTAACTGGAAATTTTTAAAAAAAAGTTAAAATGTGTAGGCATTAATTACTATTAAAAGTAAACAGTTATTATATGCTAATAACTAATAATTTCTTTTTCAATTTAGCCAAATAATTTTCATACTTTAATTCATATACATTATTTGGTAGAATAAAAAAAGAATCTGATTATTATTCAATACGTTGACTCACAGATACCAGAAGCTCTATTTTGCTAAGTTATTTCAAGGCCTCCTAAAAGCTATCACAAACCGAAACTAGTTATTAAAACGAACTGGTTTTAGAGACTCCCTTGCATGCAGGCAAGGGGAAAAGAATATTATATTTAAGCACTGAATCAAAAAGACATAACATTTTTAACTTTATTTTGTTATGTTCTACATTCTTATGTATTTCATTCAGAAGCATAATCAGTATACACAAAAATAAACTTGAACGTTAATTTTTTTTAAAAAAGTTAGACGACTATTTTTAATTTATTCCCTTACTATTATAACTGTATCCAGAGGATCTCCACTCGCGTCAACTAGGGCTTCGAACCAATGGCGTAGCTAGCTCTGTGTGGAACCCGTATCAAAACTACTTCAGGGCCCTTTTTTGGATATGAGAGCCCTATTAGGGGGACTGTAGTTACACGTGTTGAGGCTCCTGCAGCTTGAGGGCCCCATATCATTGATAAGGCGGTAGCTACGCCCTTGCTTCGAACGTTCTTTCTGATCCACAGTTCACCAAGTCTATGTGAGGATTTGGGAAAATTGATGAATAGTGTGAGACAAGAAAAGTTACATTACTGATCTATCACGTCTACAGCTGTTAATTACAATATTTACTTTTAAATACAAATTATTAAAACTATTGAGTATTTTAATACTACAGAATATTTTATTGGTGGTAGATGAGGCAAAACACAACGTTTCAACGAATTGCTGTCTCTCTTGGGTGGGGCGGTCCCTTCTTACACCTCGAATTTCCTTCGAGGTTCGACTTGCAGATGGAGTGTTGTTTTTTCTCTCGCGTATCAGTTGTCTGCGTGATGTCAGATAAAAGGATTTTGCAGTATTTTAGGGGTGTAGGTGTGGATATGAACGGTGTAACGTTATCTGCAAAGGAAAGCCGTCTTGCAGCTGCCAGGCTAGAAAACGTTACTCACTTTACTATCTAGCCGCAGAGATCACGATTACATAGTCAACACCTGAGCTAGCACCTCCTCCTACCCATTCAATCTTGCATGCCTTACAAAACAGTATTTTATTTTATATCAATCGACAAAAAATAAAAATAAGAAGCAGCATTCTCAATAAAATGTTCTCACTGGATATGTCCTTATCAAAAACAAGCAATTTGAAATATTCAATTTTTTTTTTTACAAATAAAAAATAAAAAACAAAAAGAATAAGATTTTAAATGCCCTTTACTTGGGGACAAATATACACATACCTCTTGAATCGGATAATCTTTTTCCCTGTCCCTCGATAAAATGTGGAGTATATATATATATAACATCAAAATAAATCTTTGAAACCAACTGAAAAAAAATAATCATGAATCATTTCTTAAAAAATTATTGGTATAACTGTCGTATTCTCCTCTATACACTCAAGGCCACGGTAGCCTTGTCGTCAAGTTGTCCGTCTTGTTACCTGCGTGCCATGGGTTCGCGCCCTAGTGCGATTGGAAACCCTCCGTGTAGAGATGTTGCGGTACTCCCGATGGCATGGTATGTTAGTGCCAGTTCAGGTGTCATCCTCATCACTTGACCATGGTTCAAAAGTACGAGGTCCGTCGCCCATAGCCTTATTGCTGCTAAACAGTGCGACGTTAGTAAACATTCACTCGCTCAGCAATGCATCGCCGATTATTTTTAATTCACATGGCACCCTCTTGAAATTATTTCGCTGTTTTATATTATTAACCTTTGTCGCAAAAGAATATTTTATATGATACATGCATCCTTTGACACCCATTACATATCGTGATCATATATATATTGTAGTAATGTTTTCCTTGAAATCAGTGATAAATAACTCGATAATAGATATTCTAAATGTTTCCTGCTAGACATAAATAAATTGAAAACAAAAGTAATTGCATGTATTGGCGTGATAAGAATACATGAATTGTGGATAGACCAACAACACTAGCGTTTTCCTCATGCAACCCGACTATTAATCTCATTTGTTGTGTTTATGGGAAGAAATGGTTTGATAGAAATAGATTAAAAGAAATACAATATAAATTGAAACAAACTGATAAAAAGAACAAAGTAAAGGCGATATTAATCACAATTTTATCAATATTTTTTATTGTTATAATAAAATCTCACCAACAATCTTCTCTCTTAAAAATTAATTTTAAATTTCCTATTCATTTGCATCAATCCTTTTCCTGACGTTGTATGCTAGTTAAGAACTGAGGTGTCGTCCTCAAACTTGACGCCACGTGAAAGTTAAAAGTTATCTACCACTCGGGTCTACTTCTAGTCCCATTCAGTAGCCCTTGTGTTCAGGTCCGTTTTTACCGCTTAGGCACGTGCCTGGGGCGCAAAAAATTGGAGGGTGGAAAACAAATTAAAATGACAGCGAACGTACCTCCTCCTAGCGAGTTATGAGAGAAGCATTTCGTGCTCTTAAGAGAGTAAAGAATAAAATGAGATCTACTATGCGAATAGAAAAGATTAACAGTTCGATGTTGCTATGAACTCGAAATGATATTACCATGGAACTTTTGTGATTATAATAATGTGATTAATGATTTTTCTGTGATCAAAGCTCAAAAAAACCTTTGTTGTACAAGTACCATAACAGTGACTCAACAAGGAATAACGATGTCTAAAAGTAAACGAGTATAAAGCGACAGGCGATGAAAAAAGGATGATTAACGAGTAGAAAAACAGTTCATACAATAATATATGCTCTATACTGTAATTGCAAACAGTTTTATTAACTTACTGTACTAATTTACAAAGGGGTGTGTGGTATGCGATACCGTAAGGTAAGAAACGAACACAAGTGGACAAATCATGCCATTATCCTTTCCTTACGGCTGCCGATGGCCTGTCCAGAGCACGGAAGGTGTATAGGTGGTGGAAAATTTGAGACTCTTCAAAATGCAAAAAGAAAGAAAAGGGGGGAGGGAGTAAAAGAGTTAAGGGAAAATCCCTCCCGATCCAAAACTGTCAAGGTAAGAACTGAAACAAGGGGTGCTCTGGAAATAGGGACGGGGGCGTAACAATTTGAAGTGCCCAGGGCACAGGGAAGAATAAAAACGGCCCTGACTATAATAACGCACATAAGTAAAATGCATTTGATTTAAAAGTACATGTATAGTATAATTTATATTTTTTTTAATCTTAAACTTTTTGATGAAATTTTTTTTCTCTTGTATGCTTAAATATCTTTACCCAATTATAAAATTTGAAATTTTATCGAAATTTTACAAATATAACAGTAAGTACAAGTTTTGAATTCAATGAAAAAAACATGATTGCCTTAATCATGTGCTTGTATTGAAGTTAAACCATTGTCAAGATGTTAACAGGTGTTTCAGTTTTTTACTCATGAAATTGCTTAGGCTATACAATTTCAGTCAATGCATGCCTTAGTTTACATTCTACGTTTTTAATCCATCAGAAAATATATGGCTAACCGCAGTAGTCGTGTGGTCATTGCCAACGTTGTAGAATTGCCGGCTCAAAACTTAGTGCCATTGAAGACCCACCGTGTAGTAAGGTTGATATATGTTAAGTCTGTGAAAGCT